GGAGAATGGGGGAGACCTCCAGGCCTTATGCTGCTAGCCCCATTACCTGCGAGGTGAATGCTCTTCCCCCCACCCCTGCATGTGGCCCGGTGACCCCGCAAGGAGCACACACAGACCACCAGGGAGGGACGGACGAAAGAGGAAGTTTATTGTGGGGTTGGGGTTTATAAGGCTTTTAGGAAGGTTAACGGGGGCCAATCACAAGTTCAGGGTCACACAGAAAAAACCATCAGGTAAGGGGTCAACAGCCAATAGGAAGGGGTTAACAAAGGACCAGTGAGAAACACCTCAGGACACCTTCCCAGGACACCTTCCCAGGACACCTTGTGTGAGAGACAATAGCTTCACAGGGGGTGTCTGGAAGAGGGAGACAGTGACACTACAGAAAATACACAAACATGTTGAAACATGTTTAAACTACAGTAAAAACTTCTGTTTCCATAAGGTTAGAGCTGTTTTCCTCACCAGTCCATCTCTGACAGGACTTTTTCCATCCTGCATAGGGCAAATCCATTGCCACACAGGAACAGCTGCTGGGAACAGCCTCTGCCCTCTTTGCTTGGACAGAAAGAACACCGTTTTCCCATTTCTTCCAGCCCCAGCTGCCAAAGTTGTTTGCTCAGTTCCAGGGCCAACCAGACTGAAATCTTGCCCCTCTGGTGTCCCTTCAGCCAGCGGCTGCACCAACGCAAACTGTAAGAGAAAGCGAGGGAGACCACTGCTCACAGCAATACCTACTCCTGGAACAAGCAAACCTTTGCCCTCCTCTTCAGCTCAGTGTTGGCAAACTGAAACCAGGTCTGTCCTGACTACGAGCACCCTCCATGGGAAGCAGCGGCTTTATCATGCCAGCTATAATTTTCCAGGGAAATGACACTTCATCACTGAAAACCTTAGGATGTTGCCACCATAAGCCAATCACCTACACAAGCCCTTTAATTGCTCTCCTGTCTGCATTTACTACACAGTGGGTTGTGAAACAAAACGAACCAAAGAGCAGTATTAACCACCGCACATTCCTGATTTTTACACTATGTAATGATTTTCTAGAATTGCCAAAGCTTCCTATTTCTGCAGAACTTCAGTCTTCAGTTCATCAGTGAAATATCCACTCTTTTTATTTTGTAAAAGTAAAAGGGAAATTAGCACCTGTTAAGGAAACTTCCCTGTCTGACCATCCAGGAGTTTCTCTGGCAGTCATTCTCGCACCACCTGAGCTAGGACCGAAGCTCCTTCACAGCTACACACCCCACACTCACAGTCAGACTACATTTCCTTAGCGGTTTGACCCCAAGTTTCCCATAACAGCCTCAGACATCCAGACCCTTAAAATAATTTAATCGTGGTGTAATAACTAAATAACAAAATAGCAGTTTGAGCTGGTGCCTCCAAGGAGGGACCGCACAAAGGAACGCCTGGGCTCTTCTCCCCTCACAATCTAAGTGCGGGAAAGTCTGGGGGTCTGTCTGGGGGTGGTGGGCTCCTGCCATGCCTGTGCCACAGGTCCCCAGGCCCTTTATTTTGCAAAGGGTCGACAGTTCATGGCCTCTTCCCTCAGGCTCCACCAGCATCTCCCAAATTATATTCCTCAACATATCTTTGGAACAACCCACATCATGTTTGACCTTGAGTAATGACCTGAGGTTTACTGCAGGTTATTTGTTCACATACTGGTTCTTTTTCAAATGTTTTGGCACATTTCAGCATCCCCTCTGATTTTAATAGGAAAAAAGAACAAAACAAAACCTAAACCCACCCCTTACCTGTGCAGACAATAATCTCACAAATACATCTGTGCATAACCTAAGAGCTATCAATTCAGATTACCACAAGGTATATTTATCATTAAAGTAACCTTTTCCCAGACCGTGCTGGGGTTTGTTTGTGTTTAGATTTGAAACTTATGAATGAGACCTACAAATTTGTTAAAAGTTCTGCTCCCCCTTCATGGTATTGCAGAAGTACATCTCTTTTATTTTTGCTATTGGAAAATGGCATAAACAGAAACTCTTCCTACTGGCTACAAAAAAAATTAAATCCTCATTTCTATTTAGAAAATTTTACCCCCTTGCTGCTTTTCCCAAGAGTCCCTGCAAAATACTGAGTAATGAGAGTTATACACGCATCTTTCTGCTTTAGTTTATTCCATGGCAGTTGAAATCGTGTAATATTTGTTGCACTGTTTTAATGATTCACTGTTAATAAGAAATTTTTAGTGAGCTGTAACCCATTTTTACTTCAGATCCATAAGAAACCTAATGGTTAAAGTATCTCTTAAAACTTTCTCACACTCTACCTAAAGGAAGGAAAACTTATTTTGCTGCTAAAACTTTACCCACAACTCATTTGTTTCAACTTACCAATGAATTTATAGAAAAAAAATCCAGGAACTACATGAGTAAGAATAATTTTTTCCCTTTTTTACATAGCTATTACTAAGAACCATGCAAAAAACCCCAGGGATTAGCTTTTCATTGTCCCTGCTACCAAGAACTATCAAGCTTTCAAAACCAGTGCTCCCCAGTACTGAACAACTTCACTCTCTACATTCACCGTCTCCCTTTGGACCTGATTACACAGTTTCAATGTTGCTACCTTTTCCAATAGATTCGATCAGCTAAATAAATATTCTGAGCTAGTACCAGAGCTCCTGTGGGTATTATACTGTTACACACTGAACAGCTTCGAGGGTCGTTCAAAAGTTGAGGCCCTAAAAAGTGTCAGCATGGTGCCTGTACTTCCAAGCCTTGCCTTTGCCTTTAGCTGTTCCCAATCTTCCAGCACAAAGAGCTCTTTAGTGCCAGCAATGCACACTGCTGTGTAGATATACCTGTTTTCCTCTGCTAAGCACCAACATCAGCTTCTGCAAGAGCTCAGAGACATGGCAACTCCAGGCCAGTTTTGGGACATGTCTTTACTCCTGCTCTGCTTTATGATTCTCCCTCTTCTTGTGATACATCTTTTTTTTTTTTTTTTCACAGCTCAAATATGTAAATGAACAGCTACTCCAGAGGTTTTATCTCTGTTCCTTTGTTTGTTTTAAAAAGCATTCCCTTGCTTCTTCAAAATTAGTCTGAAGGAAACCTGTAGCATCTTTTAGTAATTAGTATTGTAGGAAGTAAATAACAGAATTCATAGCAAGCAACTGCCAGCTCCCTCCCTGCAGCAGCCTTCAAATAACAACAACAACAACAAATAAAAAAAGGAGAAGAAAGAAATCTGGTGCAATGCTGGCATGAAAGACACATGCTTTGTGCCAAGCTCCAGGCACCATACAGCCCAGAAACTCTGATTGACACCCTCACACCCAGATGAGTTTATAGCATTTGGCTCCTTGTCAATGCAAAGGTAAACCTGAAGTTCTCCTTTGCCACAACAATAGCTCAGAAATACGATTTTCTGGATATCTTGTAGCCATTCTAGTGCAGTATTTTCTTTTCCTCCTGTTTTTGCTCTTATTAGATGTGCCTTGTCTAATCCATACTTATAGGCTGGTTCATAATTGCACTGCAAATCCTTGATCCAGAATAGGTTTACAGCACTTAAATCTTGTAATGCCACTGACCACCATTATCACCCAAAATTATCTTTGTAATTGACATGGAACTGAAATACATCAGCCCCCCAAGACATTGGGAGCAAGGACCATCTAACATCGCCAGGTCTCTATAAAATCAATGCAGAAAAAGTCTCATAAAAATTAAACACTTACCTGTATTCTCTGATTCCACATATAAGCAGAATCTTTTTTCCCCAAATTGATTTGTCAACCCTCTTAACCCCTGCTTTCCAGAATGCCCATTTTGTAGAAAATCTGCTCCTGGGAGCTGCTGGTCACCATTTCCATCAAATCTTCCCAACCACATGGAGCCAGAACAGCCTGGTTTTCCACTCATGAGACTTCTGGAGACTGTTGCCTCAACAAAGCCTCTGTCATCCTTGGGTCATTTGAGGACAATTCCTAAGAATTGTCCTAATTCCTCTGTGGACAGCCTACAGCTCCTGAGTGAGGTTAGTCATCTCTATACTCATGAAAACTTCCACTGCTTGTTCTCAGTTCTACATGCTGCTTCTGCTAAAAAGAGAAAATGACAATGAAGCTGCGTATTTATTTCAAGCATTTCTACTTGAAGCTTGGAAACAGTAGCAACTTCTTTGCTCATATTCCCAAACTTCTTTCCAGAGAGTAATCAATGCAAAAAAACTTCCTTTTGGCTTCTCTGAGAGCCACATCACCAGTTTTTATTGCCGTCTGTTCCTTTCTAACACCTCCACTTCTACCAAATAAAAATTAGCCTCTGGCACAGCTCAATCCATACAGTTCAGCTTCTGTTCAGCATCTCACGTGGACAGTGCTCTCACAAGCAACTCAGTTACTTTACTTTAAAAAAGAACTGCTTTTTTATATAAAGATACTCATAGCACCATCTCCCATAAAAATGTACCCTGCCTTTGTAAACCACTACAGATTAGTGACCAATCAAGAGACCGACAAAATAATTTTGTGTTGTTTTTCTAAGTATGTCCCAGAAAAGTGAAGGTACACTGAGTTTACCACCTTCATTCTTAAAATCGTGGCACTGGTTTTGCTGTGCCTTGTCCTCTGTGACTAGTACAAGTGCAAACGTCAGGTTATTACCCTCTATGGCACTGACATAAAAGGAGTACCAAGAACACTTTCCTGATCAAGTGAAGCTCGGATCAAGCAGCAGTCAACCATTCCTCTTCTCCATCGCTGAAATTAACTCCCCCAAGTCTCCGCTTAAAGTTCCAGAAATATCCAGCTAATTCCTTCAGTGGAACAGTTCGATGTTGCCAAAAGTAGTCCCACAGAGGCGTGCAGAGTACCCCACCTCCACCCCACAGGCATCAAGATCCAGAGTAACACAGGGAATTGGCCTGTTAAATTCAGCTCCAGAAAACTCTGATCATTTGAGTGCTTCCCATAGGTGCAGGAATTTAAAAGGTTACAATAGGAAAAGAAGCACAAAGTAGAGTTATTGTTCTCATGCAGAGATCTTTTGTATCAAGTTTCATCCTAAAATAGCTCTTTGCATTCGTGTTATAATAGATAACAATGCATACATATAATGAATCACAGACATTTACAATGGGAAATACTAATAAAACATTGACTCCAATTTCATGATCAGCTATGTTCTAATGCAAAATACAAATAGATAACAGGTATTACATTAAGAAACACAAAGAAAATAAGAAGTGCAGCAGTTGTTACCTTATTAGCATAAAATTCAAGTATCTGAATGCATAATTAACTGCAACTATTAAGGCATTCATTTTTAGAGTCCAAAGAATTCCTTAAATGAATGTCTTTTAGGCAAATTTTTCTGTCATTCTGAAGAGTTCTCTTCACTGTGGGTTAATACTTTGAAGTTAGACAACACAAACTAATACAAAAGCCAATACATGAACGCGGCACAGAACAACAGCTGCAAAATGGCATTACCATATTCACATTTCAAGTTCCATTTATGTCTATAATTAATATAAATAATCATGACTGTTGCATAAGATAACATAAAAATATGTACACATAGAAAATATAAAGCCAGACAGAGTGCTGCCAGTGTTGCATGTGTTATGCACTAAAAGACAGGATGATAATGCTTAATACTACTATAAGATATATGAAAGTTGATTCCAGCAATTGCACTATTTCATAATATAAGCAATTTCAGTTTCAAACTCTGGCAAAAATACAGTGAGTGCAACCTTTCATCATCTTATTTCAGATGTACTATAACATGATTATGTTTGTATTTTCACAGATAAAGCTTAACAAATCAAGGGACACTCGGTTTTAAATCACCCATATGCAGGGTTTATTAAACTATTTTTAAAGGAAACAACATAAACAAAATATTTTTTCCACTATGAAGTTTCTTTAGGCTCATTACAGTACTTCTGCATATAATTTATACTAATCTGAGTTTTGTAGGTCAGAAATAAGAGACAAATGATCTTATTATAGGAAAATGAGACAGAACCACAAACCTGCAAAAATCAGCCTTATTCACAAAACAATCAAATCTACTTTCAATTATTTTTAATTGATTATGCCAAGGATTTTCGTATATGAGTTCTTACAGTGTCCTGTCCTTCTTCCAACATCAAATAACAAATCAGAGTCGAGGGTGCTGCAGAAATTAATGAGACTAAATATGAAAAGCAGGTGAATTCCTAATACCGATGATGTCCTCCATTAAAGTTACTTCCCTCCTCTAGATCCTTTTTGTTTTCTTAACCCATTTTTTGTTTTCTTTACACTTAATATGCCAAGGTATTCAAAAAGACCAAACAAACCTCACTTTTGTCCTAAAAACTTGATTCTTCAAGTTGTCAATCCTATTGCAACATCTTTCATTTTAGCCTGATTTTCAAAGGAAACTATGGTTACATATCTGTGCTGTCTGTACAGAAGCATGCATGTTTATACTATGAAGTTATCCCAGGACTTTTTAATTTAACTCATTTCAATTAAAATGAGAGGTTAACAACCTGAAAGAAACCAAGTACCTACAACTTTGATGAACAAGGTAACAGGTGAAGAAATGCTATTCATACTCTAAAGATTCATGTAAACAATAATCAATTTATGCACAATCAACATCAGGCACTGGGGAACCCACCTGGGAGAATACCATCGGGAATGTATCTTCTGCAGGGAAGGCTTCATGTGTGCTATTGTTTAGAAACAAGATAGGCCACCAGAAACAAGGCTTTACTAACCATGTATTTTGAAGAACTACTTATAATACAATATCCACAAGAAATCTAGCTTCTTATTTGTTAAATCATTTTTGATTTGTGGATTTCTTCTTCCTTGCAACTGAACTGTCAGATTCTGATAGTTACATACACTTCCCAAACTTTTTAAACTCTGATAGGCATTCTTTAACAATGCTCAAGAGTTTTGACTTTTCCCTGCATTTTGTTTTTCTGTATCTGCATGTTTTGTTGTTCTTCTGTGTCTGCTTCAGTTCCCTTGGAGGGCAGAACATGCACCACACTACCTATTTTGACGACTTCTGTGCCCCAGGGGCTCACAGGCTTGCCCATCTCTTTTTACAATAAATGCAAACAAACCATCAGTTAACAGACAGCTGCAACATCCTTCCAAAAGAACAGCCTTGAAAAACATTGTTTACTCATATGAACAGAAGATATCCTCCTACCCTTCAAAATAAGTGACTGACTGATGGATAGGCAAAAGCATTTGTTTTAACAGAATCAGACTGACATCAGTTTTCATGTTCTCTGCTGTCTGAACAGTATCAAGCTGATCAGATTTGTAATTCTCCTGAAGCACATCAAACCAACCAAAAAACCTGCAGTCCTTTCCTACACCGAACTTGTGGATTTGTCCAATGTAAGCTAGTGAGTAACAAATTTAACTATGGTAAAAATCCATTGTATAAACTGCATTTTACAACTCCTGAAACACAGAAATCATCTAGCTTCTTACAACTTCATTTGGCAGAAAGATGAGCGCAGATTAGAAGAGAGCTGCAACTTACCCAATTCTCATTTGCTCTTTTTATCTGTTTTTTTAATTAGCTGCTTCAGAATGCCAGCTCCGGCCAAACAGTTGACCAAGAAGGCATCAGGCAATAAAACTCAAGAAAATACATCAGTTTATATTCAAGTGCAACTGGCAACCACTGACCCTACAAATAGCTTTTCTTGTGCAGCCAATTACAGTCACTTTTCTGTAGGGAGAAAAGAATTAGTGGGTCTCCATCTAATCTTGCAAGAAAGATGACCACAACTTATGCCTCAATTATTTTTTAAGTCACATGCAATTTGAGATCACATGAGTAGGTATGCTATTCAACCTTATTCCCAAAATCAACAGAAAGCATATACAACAGATTTATATGCATGTTGCATACGGCCTCAGGCAGATTTTAACGGCAAAATATTGTGATATGGGTTGTGCTAAAGTACCTTACTGTTCTTGTTCCAGAAATTTGGAGGGTTTTAAAGTAAAGATTTGGCTGAGGACATGAAATCCATCTGGCATTTTGCAGAGAGATACTGATTATGTTTTTGTATTGTACATGCATAAGCCTTTTCTTGGGTTTGATACTTGTCAGATCCGCATAGCATAAGGAGAGACCCCTGGCATCTTTTCAAGACTATACTCCACTGACACAGAGTTTTTCAACATAGGTATTTTACCTGAGAACAGCTCAATTCTTGAAACTATAATTTAAAATATATGTTATTTTAATATTTTAAAGAGACTTCTGTTCCATTCTTCTTCATAACAGTAAGAATTCATCTTCATATGCATTTAAAATGATGGAAAATTAGATTCCTATCTCTCAGGAAGCCATTTCAAAATAATATAAAACAGATTTGTAAAACCTGTTCAACCCAGACTGTTTTCTACTGTGCCTGAAGTATTACATGTGCTAAACATGAAAGACTTATTAAGAAGAACTTTTTCTACTATGTCATTAAATAAGCATCAGTGCACAAAATAACATGCAACATACATATTTGAGACACTCTCTATTAAGAAAATTAGCAAACTCCTTAGAAACTTCAGAAACTCTCTAATCGTCTACAACCCCTTATGCATCTGATATCTCAAAAAAACCCCTAAAAAAAGTAAAACCTAAAAGTCTTACGAGTTTACTTTTCTAGAATATATAAAGAAAGAGGAATGATTTCATGGTCTGAGTATGAAACTGGAAATTGTATCTTACATAATAATTTTCCAGGACAGAAACTAACCAAAGTGTCCTGATCTTCTCCCAGTACAATGGAGATAAATTAATTTATACTGAATTTATCAAATCTGTTTAGTTTACAAAGAATACATGAGACAGTTGGCTTCTAGGAGTGAGTTTTAGAGAGCAGTAAAGCACATGTTTAGGTACATGCTAAAACCAACCAAAATGACATTGCTAGTTACTGAGAAATTCATGACTGCAAAATTTTTATTACTGGATAATTTATCTAGCCTGGCTAGAGAATGGTTTCAGGTAAAACAGAAACCAAAGGACATTAATAATTTTAAGAAATAAGTATCCAATTCTCCCTAGGCAAACAGAACTTGCACAACTTGCAAAGTTTATAAAATTATGTACATAATTTGTAACATTATACTAATGTAAATGTAAAACATAGACTGACTAAAAAAAACCACAACTATAAGCTGGCCAAGGCCAGTGACCAATCAAAAACAAAACAAAACCAAAACAAACAAACAAAAACACCAAACCAGAAAACTTGACCAAAGTCTTGAGAGACAGAAGTCTGTATATATGCTGCTCTGACAGTTTAATTGAATCAAGATATATAAAGATGCACAGACAGTAAAACCAGATAAAATGCAAAAAGAAATCTGTAAACTATCAAAGCAAATATTACCATTGGCTTTAGCTTAGCTTTTTAATGAATTTAAATTCTACAGTTAGGTGTTTTTATACATTTTAGAATTAAAACTAACATTCAAAAAGACACTTTAAGTTTTTTCAGGGCCAAAGGAACACGAGCTTTTTCTTCAAATCAATAGTCTAGCATTTATAGTCAATTAAATGGAGAATGAAAAGTTAGCAAATGAACTCCTAAGGAATATTAAGTATATGCTGTCCTCACATATTGAAATCTGCGTTTGCTATGTTTTTATACAGAAATATCTTCATATAATCTCCCAAAGCAAAATTAATCATGCTTTCTAGCAGACCATTATCAACAAACTCTGCCATGAGAGAGAAGAAACAAAACATTGAAAAACAGGGACTGCAAAACAGTCTTAATGTATGAATTGCCTTCTTCTTGCAAGAGGATGACTACTTCTGGCACTTTTTGCAGAAAAGCTTTAACATTTGCCACATTAGTCCTTTCATCTTCCATCAGCAGCTGTAGTCAACTACTGCTTCGGTCAAAGGTCCCATGTTTTCTTTTAATTTTATTTTAAGAGAGGAGGCACAAACTCAGAGAAAAGAGTTTTAAGTCCTGCAGTTTCAAATTCCTTTTGTAATTCCTTCAGTGTTGAGTATTCTTTGACTTCAAATGTCTGAAACCTACATTGTAAAAGGGAAACTCATTAACATGTCCAGATTTGTCAGAATGTAATTATCAATTCTGTTACTTCTCTATCCACAACACTACTAAATTATACCTTTTATGCTGTGATTGTACTTCTGTCTCACACAGTACACTCATCATTTTCTCTTTGCATTTCTTTCCGCTTGAGTCCACATCTACCTTACAAGTTTTCTGAAGAATCAAGTAGTCCTAAATGACAAAAAAAAAAAAAAGAAAAAAACCCAAAATATTAGATGTCACTGAGTATTTTCAAAGTTTAGTAAAAAATGCAAAAATTCATATGAAACATACAGACTTTTTTTTCAGAACATAGCAATCAAACTTTGAAAGTGCCCATCCCAAACAGTGCATGACTGCTTCTATTCATCAGTTTGAAATTAAGTGCAGGCTTAAATGATTTAGAAAAGCCAAAACATTCTCCTCCAACACTGGCACAAAAACCCACCTAATGCAGTGGGACTTCATAAGTATAGACAAGAATTTCAAAGCCCAGGCATGCATGAGGAGCACCAAGTCAAGGAAAGAAACAGTTAATAATGAGTTAGAAATATGTCTGTTATTCATTTCACATCACAATTTTTTCTACTTTCTGGGGCATTTGGGAAATACAGGAAACTGAACCTAGGCATATTTAAGTCAGGAAACAAAGGGAATACAGGGGTACAGCTGCAGTGATAAGCAAAGCAATACAGACCACAGGTCTACAAGTATCACTGGTTTCTTTCATATAGAATACCTTCTTTCTCTTAAATCAGAATAAAGTTGCTGGGCCTTCCTATTCTCATAATGATCAATTTGCTTCCAAAACCATTAATCTCAGAAAAACACAGACAAAATATTCAGACATGTAGGCTTCAGTGGTAAATCAATAGAACTAGTCAACATTCATTGTTCCTGCACCTTAATGCTGCTCCTGTCACCCTGAAGAAGAATCAATATTATCTTGGCCATGAACATCAGTCTTCCAGTCAGCCTTAGATCTGAAGCCCATTTTTCCACAGTTTTCACGTATTTTGCCTTTGCTCTCATGTGATCTAAATGCAAAAGGAGCATCCAGATACCATCTTCTGCACTTGTTCCTTTTGACGAAGTAGTTTTTTCACTGCAAACTGTTGCTGATTGCTTAATGACATCTTTAAGATGCTGCTGTATCCAAAGAATCAGATCATGTACCATGGGTTCAGAAAGATGCTTCTTTGCTTGTTCAAGTAATTTATCTTTCACGTCCATACATTGGGCCCTTGTAAGCTGGTCTGAGTTAACAGAAATATCTGGTACAGCTGATGGATAACTGACTGGTAAATGAAATAACAACTTTAAAAGTACATCTGTATCCAGCAGTTCTTTCACAGTGATTTGAATTCTAAATGAGATTCCATGCGTCTCTGGAAAATATAAAAAAAATAAACATTAATAGTTTGTTTCAAGTTGGAATACACATATATCATTAGGTCATATTATTTTCTCTAACAATTCCACTCAAATTACTGCAATTTCATACAAAATAAGGGTGTGGGGTTTTTTTGCAGGGTGGGGTGGTTGTACCCAATGGCTTAAGCTATACCTGCAGGGAATCCTGAAATTAAACACTTCCACAACATAATAGAAGGAAAGTTATTAACACATTCTAAAAAGTATTCACACATTTTGGCTCTTTCAAAGTCTAGACAAGCCAGGAATAAAGAACTGTCTCTCTCAAACACATAACTCAGCTTCTACAGCTCAATAGCAGCAGCAAGGACAACTGAAAATAGAGACTTTTCTGGATGGACTCAGCACTGCCTTAACTTTGCTCCTAAAGAAATCTGTAAGACTTCTAACATCAATACCAGGCAAACAGACTTGCACTGGATATTTTTGAAGACAACCAGTCAAAAGCAGTTCCACACTAACAAGAGACTTGGAAATAAAGAAGTAGGATTCTTTGTCCCCTACAACTTGCAGAGAAAATATGCTTAAATCTTGTCTGTCAACTCCTCTACAACGGTGGGATTGATATAATGAAAACAACTCTGTTGGATATCTGATCCTAGATACTACATATATAAATATGCATATACTTATATAAATGTATGTTTATATATCTGCATATTTACTCAAAATCTGTAGCATCTACTTTAGAACAGAATTATTTTCAAAGTGAAAAGGATACAAACAGTATGCAGCACGAAGGGCTAAAGACCACATCCTTCTAATAAACCATATAATCAAAGATGGTTAATATGAAAATTATGTACAGTAATTCCTGAAATAAAACCTTTCATGGAAAAACAATACAAAACTTGACAAAGTGAGAAGTGAGGACAAAGACCTAACCTACTTTTGCTCCTCTGCCATGAAGTAAGATGGTATCAATCAGATAAAAGATGATCTTCTTCAGATGTTCTCTGCTTCACCCCTTTGATGCATTCTAAGCACTTCACCCCTTTTCTTTAAAAAATTGCTAAAATGTCAGGCTGATTCATTCTATGAGGGCAGGAGAAGCCAGATTTGAAAGGCAGATTAGAACAGAGCTGAGTTTCAGAGCAGCTCTTTTGAAGTGACTTGCATTCTTCTCCCCCTACCTTACCTTACCTTCCTTTACATGACAGTCAGTTGAATTATGTTTGATTGGTATTGCTGACACTGCTAACCAACCTCAGTGCTCTCCATGATTTTATATTAGAAACTTACTAAATAAGTGAAAGGACCTAAAAGTTACTTGGACAGACAGAAGCACTTTAGAGAGCAAACCCAAGGGCTTGTTTCCAAACCTCCTTCCTGTATCATACAAAGAACTCTCTAGGTCAGGGCATTCACAAAATAAAATCAGCAAACCCTCCAAACCCAACAATAAAAGTCTAGCAGTACTATAAAGAAGTCTCCAAATATCTACAGACCATCACTGCCTAAAGAGAGTCAAATCCAGTGCTGAAAGCAGCGATGCAAATCCAGAGAATTAAACAAAACTACACCCAACCATGCCCATACCCACAGGCACTACGTGTCAAAGTGCTGTTCCCTGCCAACACGATCCATGTCCAATCTTCCAAGATGCTATGAAAGGTTCCAGGCTATTTTAAAGGCAAATGTACTCCTCAGAAAAGCACGAGCCTAGGAAGAAACCCTCACACATGGTCAGCAGCTATGCAGGGGGACCTCAAGCCTTCCCATTCCAATCTCTGTCTTCTGCTGCCCAGACAAATGTTTCTTCCTGGGTACTAATGATGATGGTTCCTCTATCATTACACTCAGCACACACAGTCATAGACGCAAGAAGAAAAGACTGCACTGCACCTCCTGGGACCCCCAGCACCCTCCGGGCCACCACAGAGGGTCTCTGCACACCCCTGAGCATCACATGAGACACAGACAGTGCCTGCTGCCCCATCTCCTTCCGCCACCCCTTACTCAGGGCAGCCCCACCAGGTGCAGCCAGCTGGAAGCAAGCTGCACCTGGCTGAACGGTAGGAACATTATTGTACTCCTGCCTGTGAATCACTTTATTTTCAGCTATCTTGCCAAGAGATTTTAAAATGCACAGCCTATATAAAAGAATACTGCTCTATTACCAGCTTAATTACAGTGACAGAAAAACATGTTACTTTTCTGAAAATCCTCATAGGATTTTTTCACTAGCTTGTCATAATGGATCTCACCAACTCAGAAGTAACCTAGGGATAAACAGACAGGCCAACCCTGCCCCTTCAACAAGGGCCTCCTGCTGCAGTGATCTTATTCTTAAGCCTGCAACAATCTCACACCTTTCCCTGTGATGATGAACTAATCCAAAGGAAGCAGTGCAGCCTCGCATCCCAAAGTGTATCACCCTGAGCCATCGCAAAAAGTCCAGCCGTGCTCATTTACATCTGCTTCAGACTCACTTTTAAAAAAGGAGAATCAGTTCAAAACCTACAGCATCCAAAGTTTATTTAAATGTTGCAGCGTCCATTTTCTGCACCAGCGCTGCAGACGCCGGCAGAACAAAGAGCAAACCACCGACGCCCTGCACAACCTGGCTCCAAAGGAACATTTCCTTTGTTTGCACATGCTACAAGGGCTGAGTTGTCTTCACAGCAACATGGTGATTATTTCTGAAATAAAAGGTTGGGTATGACTGTTCTGCTGGCATTTAATGTGCTAATCAGACTATACTCAATATATTTTAATTCATTTTCCCCATAGCTGCATGCTTATCAGTATATTTAGCTCTAGCATACTTCAGATTTTTTCTTATGTTCCATGTCAACTAGACAGATATCCCCCTCCTCTCCTGCCCAAAGGCATTTTATGCAACACATGCAGTCTATTTTTAAATTCAGAAAATGGCACCTACTAACATACAAGCTTAGAATATCTAAATATATTTTTATAGCAAGCTTGGTGAGCAGACTAGAAGAGAACAGATTAACAATTAAATTATGGATTTCTATCTGTAACACTAATCTTTGCATATAGATACGTAAGGTAAAAAAGATACGCCGTAATTAGTTTATTTAAATTCATCAACACATTGGTTTTAATAAAAACACATTTTACGTTCTGAATACTTCATTGTTAAATTCCAGAAAGCCAAAGTTTTTACCATACCAAGAGACCTGCAAAAGAATTTTCTTACATTCCTCAAAACCATAAATCCCCAATGATCTCCTTTTTGATCTTGTGGATCTACACACAAATTACTCTTAATATATTAGAGATATCACAAAATAACAGTCCTACTGGAAGTTATGTCTATGCCCCGTCTGTCAATGATAATTTATATGGTTCAAAGAGATAAAGCAAATATAAGCTAATGACTACAGCAAAAGTTAATTGTATACAGACTAAAGGATTCTGTAGCTCCAACATAGGACAGGTAAATTCCAAAAGTAAGAAAAATACCAATAATCATTGTTGTAAATAATCTTTTCAATTCCAGCAGAAAACTATGGAAATCAACCAGAGATACCTGATCCTAACATATCATGAACAGAGCCTGGCTAAAAGCCCTACAAGGTCACGTAAAGTCAGTATAAATAAAATAGCCTGTTCTCGTTCTGCATTTGTGGCACCTCACTTCATGTTCCAGGAAGGCTTCTAAGCCTTTTACATTCTGGTAACTTATAAACACAAAATCATTCTTCCATATATGAAGCACAAAGAAGAATGTGCATATATTTGGCTAACAGATCTGGAGGAACAGACATGTATATGCACTGTTCAGGTACGTTCACAATTTTTAAAATTAACATCTGATAAGCCTGGATACTGTATTTTCAAACTATGCCCAAAATAACATTATTGAACTTTTTCACTTTAAGAAGATAAAGCTCAGTTGAAACATTTCAGCAATCACATTTTAAAAATACAACCTTATAAAATGGCAGAATTACACGCCTACACTGGAGCAAGAGGTGTGTCACGCAGATCTAGACACAAAATTCTGCTTTTAGATTACCCCAGTTAATTGTGCTCCCTGCAAACACTGATGTCTTCATCCTTCTGAGGCTGTCTACACACATAGTTTTTAGTTAAAGTGAGTCGCTCAAAAGCAGCCGCATGTAACTTCACACAACAAAGCCATTTTCATGGAATCACAGAATGGTTGATGTTGGCAGGAACCTGATCCAACCTCACCCCTCAAGCAGGGCCACCTACAGTAGGCTGCCCAGGACAATGTCCAGATGGCTTTTGACCCCAGGGAGAGAGACTCCACAACCTCTGCGCAACCTCTTCCAATGCTCAGTCAGCCTCACAGTAAGAAAGTGTTTTCTTAATAATCCCAGTCCTCTCAGGCTGAATACACACATATGCAGACAAAATCTGACAGCAGACCACTGCATCCCTCTTTAACAGCATTCCCCAGGACTTCAGTGAAGTCCAACCAGCAGGAAGCCACTTGCTGTCCATCACTCTGCCGGGGAGCTGAGCAGCACTCTGCAATAGCTCCTAGGGCACCAGGGAAGAGTGATACAGAATATAGCCATATTCTGTGCATCTCTGTGAGTGTGTGTATCTCTCTCCAACAAATATGCAAGAGTTGTCACATCCGTGGTATGCACTACGCAAAATTTACTTATGATCTGGATCTCACACAGACACACAACACTTGCATATGCCACCTGACATTCAAGCCTGATAGTAACTGCTGTTGTACACTGGAACTACTGAGGTTTATTCTCCCTTGCTCAAGGGGCATCTTCACATCACCACACAGCACAGGCTGATAAATGTCATCCCTTAACACGACGTTCTAAACAGTGGCTAGTGCAGAAACCGTGAAGTAAAGGTGTCTACACTGACTGCATTCCTACCCTACAGCAACCAGCAGCTGACGGGAGCAAGGAGTACAGACCATCCGACCATTCCACCAGCACCAAACACACACATCAGCCTCAGTACCCTGTAAAACCTACGGCCATACACATCTTGCTGAAGCTGGAGAACCCCTGGCACATCATAGGGCCCAGGCTATTACCTTACCCCAGAAAAACAGAAATTACCCAAGCACAGCATGGTCTCACGCTGATCTCATACACAGCAAAAGCTACACCCCTATTAAGTATTACAGGATAAACACCTGGTCCTGTTACACGTATGAGATTCACCTGGTTATGTACCTAGGTAAGAGCCAGCCCCTTCCCAGCGCGGCCCTTCCCTGCTGCCAGTGCCTGCAGGCGTTGGGCACAGCCGGGACAGCGAAGGTGGCTAACTATAACCGAGCAGGGCCCGCTGGGCTCCGTGCCCTAAGCGCGGCAGTACCGACACACGGCGGGTCAGGGACAGGGACGGGCGCCGAGCGCCAACACAGGAGCGACTGAGCCGCCCGCAGGGCAGCGGGGCCGGGTCGCCGCCGGGGCAGCGGGAGGGTCCGGGCTGTGGACAGGGCGCGGCCGCGTCACCTGAGGCCGCCAGCAGCTCGCAGCCGCCCGGCTCGCAGTAGATGGCGGCAAGCGCCGACAGCTCCTCGCGCGCCAGCTCCGACATGGCCGCCGGGGGCGGGCGCGGTGCCCCCTGCCGGTCGCGCGCCGTGCCCCCTGCCGGTCGCGCGCCCGGCACCACGGCCGCCAGGGGGCGCCGTCGGCCCGGCCCGCGCCGCAGGGACGCGAATAAAATGGCGGCTCCCTGCGCGCGTGTCGCCCTTCTTCCCTGTCCCCCTCTCTGCGTCCCTCCCTGCCCCGCGGTGCGCAGCGCTGTGCGACCTTCCGATCCCCGGTCGGCCTCGGGCCCTGGGCGGCCCGGCGGTGCGCTGCCGCACATACCCATACACAAAGATTTACTGGAATATAAAATTAGGCTTCTTGTATTCAGTCATTGTAGCTTCACAATCCCGTTACCAGCCATCACACCGAGGTCTTGCACAGCCGACAGCACCGTTAGCTCCCAGGCATAATGATCTCAAACGTTCAGTATGTTCCGTTATTATAAAATCACTTTTAAAAGGAAGCGATAGGGGGGTTACTTTTCAGGAGAGTATACCCTGCTATTTCTAAGTCCCTAAATTCAGTTGAAATAACAAGAAGCACGAGAGCGCTGGGCCGGGAAGAAGGGGGATGCTGTGACGGAGCGGCACTGCCGGGTGCAGCCCCTGCCGCTGTCAGAAGGCTGTGCTGGAAATTAGCCTTAGAAGTGCCTCATTATATTATTAAGAACTTTCTCGCCCCGGTCTTTCCCCCTTCTCTTCATATACTTTGCATATTCCATTTTACATGTTTAAATAAAAAAGTCGATGTAAATGTCTTTTAAATTGACACTATCACAAGACATGGAGGTCCCTATGAATAAGTTACTGCACTCTGACATTTGGAAGTCATCAAATAAGACAGTATAATGTCAGCTTGATATTTTTCACACTATGAAAATATCAGCTTCATGTCAAAGATCTAAATTCCATCTTAATGTAATAAGTTTTCTTGTATTCACAGACAACTGAAAATGCTAAATATTTAAATTCGAAATGAACTTCTACAGTTACAATCTGGCCTTCATATTCCATTATTAATAAATTGAAGGCCAAGATCTTATTTCCCCCTTTTTTTTAATGATTTCTTCAAACATTGCAGTGTCGATAGAATAGCATTAGCCATATTCTTTAAATGGATTCTTTCCTATCAGCATGTGGCAAAGTTAAAAAAGTAAAGCTCCACTTTTTAGAGTCAGCCTACATTAAACCAGCTCCAACATCCTGTCATAAAACGATTGTGCCACCAGTATCTTCCACTTTGCCTGACAAGCCAAACAGAATGCAACCTTTCATACAAAGGTAAGATAAATCTTCCCAGTGTTATTTGCAAAAGTAGTGTCCTTTGCTTTCCACTCACTACAATTACAGCCTTAATCAATTAGGTGTTGCTTCGACGACCACTAGTGATTATATATAAAACAATGCATTTAGACTTGTTTTCCCCTGAGTGGTGAATCAGGGGAGGAGTAGACAGACATTTGGGAAAAAAATGTCCATCTCTATCTTTTTACCATCTTTTCCATGCCAGCCACTCAGGCTTCTCCTCTACCGCAACTGCACACAGTCCTAAAGCTGTGTACTGTAGAAGGCATTAAAGGACCAGTAGGAAGAGTGTGAAAATCACTGCAGCTGCCCATTTTGGGGGTCACAAGACAGACACTAATGAGGAACTCATAACCACAGCAAAGGTGGTGGATAACCAGTACAACACAAACCACATCCGTCTCTGGCACTGCTGTAAGACAACTACGGTTCCCATATTTTCTGCTACAACAACTTTGCCAGCTCTACTGTAGCCAGAATGGCATTCTTACTAGCTAGAACTGTCCTTACCTGAGTTAAATAGCACTGCTTTTTCTGATACGTAAGAAAGAAGGTACCATTTCTGTAATAAATGTGTTATTGCAATGGTAGAAGTTTTCCCAAAAGTGGCTTGTACAAAAGTGGCAGAGAGAAACCAACATGAAAACCTGTAAATTCTCTCCAAATAAGCTAAAAGGCAAAAGCTTGAAGAAAACAGAAGCGACCCCAGTAATTGTGAAAATACATGATAAATCATGGAGGTGTTTTCCCGCCAGTTTTCTCAAGTACAGCTCGTGCAAAAGTTTGGGGTTTGTTTGGGTTTTTTTTTTTGGCCCAAAGCATGTAGTTTTTTACTATTGGAATAAACTCATTTAACAAAAAAATCTACGTTGCAAATTAAAACTACCAAAATTCACATGGTTTGTTCTAAGGTTAAATTCAACATTTTCCATGAGGTTTTGCTTTTCAGTTTTTGAAAATGAGTTAATGAACTCTCATTGATATATACAAAAAAGACCTTCTCCAATTTGAGAAAAAACAAATCAGAGAAAAAATATTTTCTATTACTTTTCCTTTAGAAGCAAGTTTTTCAAGGATTTGTGATCTAGCAGTGCTTTTTAAAGGCACTTGCATTTATCCTCCATGCATCAAACTGCTCTAAGTCAATTCCCCAAGACACTTAATCTTTTGGCAGATGGAAACTCATTTTGAAAGTGCACTAATGATCAATTAAAGCATTAGCTGTCTCTACAGACAGGAAGTTTATGGGGTCACAGTCTTCAGAAGCTGCAGGCAAGAGCAGCAGTATGTTAGCAAAATAGCTAAAACTTCCTGTAGTTACCACAAAAATTGGCAAAACATTGGAAAACAAAACCCATGACTTCAGTCTTTTTTTTTTTCATAATATGTTGAAAACAAATCGATGGCTTCTATTTTACACGAGAGGCCATGGTCCAAACTGGTCATAGGCAAAGGAAATGATCTTATAAATTTTTTTAATGAGCCCTAATAACAATCCCAATACTTCCAATAAATTTACATTATCCTTTGAAAACTGGATTCATTCAGACTCCAGTCACAAAATATATAACCCATGCTGCAAATATGCAGATGCGAGGAGCTGCCATCAGAATCAGAGGCTCACTGGTAGATAATGCATCACTTTGCGCATGCTCAAGGCCTCACAATAAGGTCTGGAGTCAAGAAGGGTACTCTGCCCAGAAGTTTCTCTGCAATTTGATGTACATAAGACCAAACAGATGTAACTGTCACATTCATAAAAGAATTTAAGATTCTTTCTCTAGGAGTTTGGCAAGCCATTTCTTCTTGAAGGAAATGCACATAACAGTGATTAGCCATCTAATATAAACTAAAAAGGTTGCTTTTTACAACATGACATATCTAGTATGACCACAGGTTCCTAATGCTAACATTGATGAGAGAATCAATATGTATTTGATCACTCCATAAAGTTCTTTGCCAGTAATTTACTTTGTACAAAGGTAGAATAATAAATAGAACATATTTTCTTTCAGTGAGAGTAAAAATGCATGAAGTTGCCTACTAAAAATTTGCAGAAAACTAGCAATATTGTGCATTTTTAAAAAAAATGTATGTAAGAACTTATGAGTAGGGAAGGCTATGACACTGAAGACATAAGCACAGATAGCACTGAGTAGTATATTCTACCCTCAAAAAGTTCAGCTTCCACATCAAGTTCCACATCTGCTTGCAGAACCTTACTACATGGACTCTCCTCCCTGTGCTTACACAGGGAGACAAAGAATTAATGTGTCATTTAATTTAGTAAGTGTTGGGAACAGATCTTTCTAAAAAGTGGTGGTTTTGAAAGAGGCATTTCTACTCTATAAAAAACAAACATTAGTAAGAGTTCAAAAATTAGGCAGTGCTCCTTAGTTTACCAGTTCGTTTTTAGCTGCTGAGCTACAGCAGTATTAGTATCCATGCCTCCATCCTTTGAAATTTGGCACATTAGCTATTATTCCCCCACACTTTGATACAGGAGTGGAATAAAAAAAAAATGGGAGCGCATAAGATGACAGTCTATTTATGACCATTTTGAGAGCACTGAGAGATCCTTTGCCACACTCACACCTTTTGAAGGCAAAACAGTATTCATCACCACATTTTAGACTTCAGATTTACAGAGCACATTAAAGTCCTGATGGCAAATACATTATGTAAACACTAGAGAGCATTTCACACTAAACTAGCATACCTCTTTCACCTCATAATTCAAAAACAGTGTTTTGAATTACTGAAACACCTTGTTTTGGCAGTAAAAAGTAGCAATAATCAAGAAGGGACACAACTACCTTTGTACAGCAACAGTCTCTTTCTTTTACAGCAAAGCAGGGCAGAAATTCTAGGGCTTAGCCAAAAAATTCTGAGACTTAAGCTAAAACCATTGGAATGATATGAAAGAGAGCAGCAAAGGTGTTTCTAGGGGGCAGGGGAAAAAAATAAATAAGTGAAGGGTAACAGAGCTACAGCTCCCCCTTCCAAACTGCCTGCTAATACACTGCAAAGGCAAAATGTTACAGGATGACTCAGAGCCAGGAACTCCAGGCATGCCAGAAGGCTAAGCCTCTAAGTTACTCCCCAATTACAGAGCGCTCATGTTGGCCAGGTACCAACAGGACAAGCTGCAGAAGAGTTGGGCCAACACCACTGAGTAGGGAGGGTATTGTAGGCACAGCAACCACACAGTCAGTGCCTCCACAGAATGGCAGCACTGGGCCAGACACCCTGACTGCAGGGTATTTGAATGCAGAATGGTCTCCTGCTCCAGGTGATACAGATCAGTATCACTTTTGATCACATATAGATGACCCAAGACCTGATTACAGCTGGAGTGTTATGCTGGAGCCCTTTTCTATCAGTCACAGAGATTGCAGTTTCTGAGCACCCCAATATCCTTGAAGAACCACATACATCTTCAGTGGCAGACCGGGAGGGCGCTCCTAACTCGTTTTATCTGCAAGAGTCAAGCAAAATAGGTCAAGCAGGGCTTTGACACAGTAAAGCAGAACATAGGTAAACTTCAGATATCTAAACACAAAACTAATTTAAAAAGTGACCCATCTTTAGTGAGTGTCTGCATTTTTCCTTATGTATGTGCACAAGGTTAACCTTGGTTTGACATGTTGGTTTCCAAAATTCTGTTTCAGCTTGACTGGGACTGGGAACCTGACGTCACTGCAGAATTCCTTGAAAGGGCCTGCTCAGGATACTTCTTCACTTTCTTGAGCTCCATGAACTCTCCACACCTTTCTATGCTTATAAAGAAATTATATAAATGTATTTATTTATGCATACTCACATACTTCCTTTAATATAGCCTAAACGATAGTTTTTCAGTTAAAACATCCTTCCTAGGGATTTTTAAAAAAAAATCAATTTAAATTACTGTTTTTCAAGTTCACATCGGAATTCTAATCATTCTTCTGAAATGACACCCATCTCCTGAAAACCAGCAAACTACCAACATCCTGCATCAAATAACCCAGGCCTAAAAGCAAAAACTCCACATTTACTTCCTTAAGTCTTACTGATTATAGAAATTAATTACTTTCATTGACATTTCTAGGATTTATTTTTTTTTTTTTTTAATTTCCTCGTATTCCTCTTAAATTAGCCAGACTTGGGATGAATATATTTGTTGTCATATGCTCTTATTCTGAGAACTGCTGGTTTGGTAACAAACACTTGAATTTAGTCCTTGGATTTTGGTTCTGTAGTCACCTAAAAAATGAGTAGTATATATTATTCAAAGATGTAATGATAGTTAAGTTGTAGTAATAATACAATAATATATAATAAATGTATCAAATATATAACAAGATCATAGTTGTAACAGACTATAATCTCATGACACATGCAAAAGCTCATCTTAATAATTCTTATAGCTGAAAGTATGATCACCAAAGTTAAGAAAAGTATATTTATTTCCTTTTACTTTGATGACAAAGTAGAACATTTCATTAACAGTAGCACAGAAAAGAACAATTTTGAATCTATGGAAGATGGAACATAACAGGACACAGTGAATACGTGAAGTGACATGTGACAGGTTTCACCAGATTTAGCAGCAATAACAAATTTCCATAATGCACTTAACATCACACTGCCAAAACCAACCAAGCAAAGTCATTCTTTTGAAGCTTCTGAAGTACCCCCTACAGTGGTTGTACCCTTTCCAAATCTAGTTGCGAGAAACACAGAATCCTCAGTATATCAAGTTACCAAATGCATAAACCAATAAAAAAACCAAAAACCCAAAAAAGAAAAAAATCACCCCAAAAAGCAGTAAGCCTAAATCTTTACTGCTAGAACACAGAAGCAGTTCCTTCATTATCCGATATGCTTCATAAAAGGTCACACACTTCTCATATACCTTGTACACACGCTGCCTACTCAGATGGAATTTTTTTCTTTTCCTATTTATCATTTATACATATATATATATACACATATATATATATATGTATGAACCACTAGAAAGGTGAAAAAGGAATGAGCAAAGCGTATATGGCAAGAGCGTGGTTTTCCTATTAGGATTCTAGACTTCTGGGTAATATCTATTCCTACCATGTATGACAGTTGTCTCTGAAGTGGGAACCATTTAGAATTCTAAATGATGAAAGCTTCCCTGACTAATTTTTTCCCAAAGGGGAAGTTGGGGAGTTTCCCCTCAAGGAAAAGAAAAAAAAAAAAAAAAGAAAAAAGCTTCCAATGTCAGTTAAACATAAGGACTTTGAAAATGAATGTACATCTGTTTCCCAGTTAAGGCTGGGAAGCTTTGTGAAGGCAGCTTCCCTCATTTGAGAAGCTACAATGTGATATGCTCTTACTCCTTTCCAACTTACTGAGCCATGCAAATTTTAAGCTATTACAGTGCAAGACTTACAAAAAAAGACAGTTTCCCTTATTAAGCACAAACATTAATCAAAGCTTTAAGCCACACAGCACTAACACGCATCACTCTAAGAAAACATTCAAATCAACCTTATTTCTTGGCACTTTTGATACCCTGTTAGCCAAGTTATATACACAGCTGTGATATGCCTCACTATAATCAATCACATGTGACTGTGTAGTCATACACTCTTGTGCGATTCTGCTTTATATAAAAAAAACATGCTATGGTACAGCTGATGAAGCCAAGATGCCAAATACAGATGCACTGCATGAGGTTCTTTAAATAAGGCTTGTCTCTGTATTGAATGCATTACATGACACATGTGAAAGACATGAAAATACTAAAATAATACATTTTCTTACATCAGAAAACAACCTTTTAAATACTGAAATAAATAGCCATTAAATATTATCTCCTTTTAGAAATGCTTTAAAAGTGACACTCATTTCCTGATTCTAACAGATGTTCTTCTGTTCAAAGATAAACTGCAGATTAAGGCATGAGTATATTTTCCTGTTCAATTTAACACATCTTTAAAATATTCATACTACACTATACTTCCTTTAAACTGAATGACCTCAACTGACATTTTCTGAGGAAGCATGTAATTGAATAGGTAAAGTACCCATGTGAAAACAAATACATGAGTTTATATTGTTAATAAAACATGCAGTTTGAAACAATCCAGATCTTTTACCCTTTATTCATCACTGAGGTATCCAAACACTTCAATTATGTGATTTATGAAATTTCCAGTTTTCACTAATGAAGTAATACTCAAAACTTCAGTCAGAATCAGAACTGTAATGTATTTGGTGCAGCACTGAAGTCGTGAAATGAAAAGGCGGCAAGCTTATGCACAATCTGAGCCAAAGTAAAAAAGGTTCCCCAGTTT